TCCTTCCTTCCTTCCTTCCTTCCTTCCTTCCTTCCTTCCTTCCTTCCTTCCTTCCTTCCTCCCTCTTTTTCAGTGGGGGAAGGGGCAGAGGGAGAAGGAGAGAGAGAATCCTAAGCAGGCTCCATGCCCAGCTTGGGGCCCAACGTGGGGCTTGATCTCAGGACCCTGAGATCATACCTGAGATGAAATCAAGAGTCGGACGCTTAACCAACTGAGCTACTCAGGAGCCCCTCCCAGTTTGCTGTCTAACTGTGTGACTGAAGCTTTTGTCTCCTTCCTCTTCACACGTTCATATATGTGATCCAAAAATTTGTTCCTCAGCCCTCTTCTTGCCTGTTCTCTCTCTTTCCTAATAACCTCATCTACTAGTTGGGCCTTGACTGCAAGTGACTCCCATAGTTCTGTCATCTCCTCAGAGTTCTGGATACAGATGTCCACCTGTACACTTCTCTACAAAGATAGGCTCTGGCACCTCGAAAAACTCATGTTATCCAAATTGAATTTAGTGTCTTCCCTCTGACATTTCCATATCATCCTCATGTTTCCTATTTTTTTTAAATGTCATCACCAATGTTTGAAATCTCAAAGTCAGTATGACCACTTTCCTGTTCATTTCCACAATAATTTGCAAAACCTTGTCAATACTTCCTCTGAGATATTGCTGCCATTTATATCTTCTTTTCCATCCATTCTATAGACTATCCCAATAGCCTCATAAATGTTCTTTAGGCTCTTCTGCATCCAAACCACTTTATATGTTGCTGCCAGAAAAATCTCTTTATTTTTTTAAAGATTTTACTTATTCATTTGTCAGAGAGAGAGAGAGAGCAAGCACAAGCGGGGAGATAGTGAGCGGCAGACAGAGGGAGAAGCAGGCTCCCTGCTGAGCAAGGAGCCCCGGTGCGGGACTCGATCCCTGGACCCTGGGGTCATGACCTGAACCGAACGCAGATGCTCAATGGACTGAGCCACCCAGGCATCCCAGAAAACTCTCTTTAAAACAGAGTTTATTCATGTTAATATACATTTCCTTATCTAAAGGCATTTGCTTTAGTCATTTGCTTCGCTAATATTTTTCTTTTCCTACACAAGAAATCTCTCTCTTGTTGGTGCCTTTATATCATTAAGTATTCTAGTCTAACAGGTTAGACTGATTTGATAGTGAGCTCCGTAAGTAAAGGGCCTGATATATCTACTTCAAATCTCCAACATACCCTGTAGTGACTGACATAAAGTAGACCCTCACGAAATCTTTGATTTGGGGGTTGGGTTTAGTATCATTCCTTTGTTTAGAAAACTTCAACATTCCCTATTTGTTACACCCCACGAAGTTTTACCTGGTCAGTCGAACCCTTAGATTTGGGATCTGGGAAAGCTTGGCAAGAGGATAGTAGGAGGCAGGGGAAGAGGCTCAAACAAAAAGGAAATT